CAGAACAAGGCATTTAACAGTGTAACTAATAATTGAAATTGACTTCAAATTCGATTGAAATGTTTTGATCATCTCGGAAGCTTTATGTCTAACCTCATGAGGGGAGACACAAAAAAAGATGTCCGCAAAAAGGAAAGTATATTTAATGAGAAATTATAAGACACCTTACATAGAGCTTGAGAAATCTAAAAGGGAAATCTAATAGGAAGTAAAATCTACTTGTTTTAGTTTCATGCCATTTATGATTATTGTCGTTTCCTAAAAAGACTCGAAAACAAAAGGAAAGAAAGTGGAGGCTGTCTACCACTGTTCGGGTTTTGATTAAAATTTAGGCAGCCTTGGATTGACCAAATGGCAGCATCATTCATAAATGGATTCACCAAATGGCAGCATCAGTCATAAATGCAAATCAAGCAAGCATCGAAACCATACCTCAGGGAATTTTGATAGCTTCAGAAGCTCAGAGAAGGCAAAATTTTCTTCATCATTTCTGCACGATAACATGCACAAAAACAGCTAATATGTCTTCCACCCGGATAAAGATTGAAAAGCTTCATCAAATCAAGAGAAGTTAAGAGACAGCTTACGTTGGTGGCTTGCAAAAACTCAAATGATCAAGCAATACAACTGTGGAAGGAAACTCTGTGCATAATTCCTGAATTTCTGAAATATGAAGATTGAGACCCTGAAAAGATTTTACCTTGTAAATGCTATATCCCAAACATTCGGGCAAATATTGCAGTGCGCTTGGAAGTAAATTTTACATGACAAGAAATAGGGTTCTGTTAGTTCTTTTGAGCTTTTGGCTTTAGTGGAAAATTGGATAAGAATGGTTATACCTTCATGCACATGAAACCAACTGGTACACCAAGTTCTCCTGCTTTGGAAAACAGCGCCTTTCCAATGTCATTTGTCATCTGCATAATTTACCAACTTCGATGAATACAACTTTCTTGGTAATTATCTCAGTGCACTGCAAATGTCAGGGAATTAAGTTTTGATGTTTGTTACAAATTTCAAATGGGAGTTTACATTGCATCTTAATCGTGTAGTTTATGAGTTTCAAAGACCTAGATCAACCCAACCCCAGCACTTCTCTATTTTAATCTAATGCCCAGAAATAAAAAAAATTATTGATAACTCTCATGGAAGTTCAAGCCCCATCTCTTAACAGTGTATTCAATTGCTATTGAAGATTTTCCTTCTTAACCCACATTAGCTCAGAAAAGCAGATTCATATCCCACAAATGTACAACATTTTTAGAAGGGTACAACTACAGAAGTTAAACAGTCCACTTGTTTCTGTGTTTCCTGTAATGAAGACAAACAATAAGTTCAAAACGTAGCTATCAGTCCAAAGCAAGAGAAAGCAGCCACAGAAAAATCTTCTCCTCCTGCCTTAACTTATTGAGCTACAAATGTATTAGAAACTTGACAGTTTCAGGTAACCACAAGCAAGAATTTTACCTTCTCTCCTGATGGCCACAGATATGGGTTAAAGCGAACAGCACGATAACCATCCTAGCATGAATAGACACCAGAGAAAATGTCAGAATGATCTGTCAAAGGCAATGTTATGGCTATGAAATAACAGGAATACACCTTCAAAATAAGTTCTTCGAGATGCTTGAGTCCACTTCCATCTTCTGCAGGATTTGCAAGGCAGCAACCAACAAACTTGTTTGGATACTTCTTCAGGACACTGGCCAAGGAAAATTCTGTCATTAAACAATAGCTTATAGCACTTTTGGAGAAGTACATACAGCCAATGAAATTTGTTTTTAGAGTAAAGTATCATCTATTGTCCTCGTCTTTAAGGATCATGCTCCCATGCTATGTGAACCACCAGATTTTTTTTTTTGGAGAGGGTATAATAAATATCAAAATGCCATTTCTTTAACCAAAATCATATGAGCAGAATAACGTATCAAACATTGCAAAACCCCAGGCTACTGAACTCTGTCTTTCTGTATCTCGCATGTGAGCATCAAGGGGTTTCAGAAACACTGTATTGTTTATATGCTGATCACTGTATTAATTACAGTGGATGATCCATACATTTTTGTGAGGCTTTCTACCAGTATGCCAGTTCATGTACAAATGCAATATATGACATCCTGATTAACTAACTATAAACACTGAATATATACAACTTCAACAAACCTTGTCACTAGAGAATGGTCAAACTTATGATTAATGGGCTGTACAATGAGTGCACCATCTACACCTGCTTCTTCCAAGGACTGTAGCGGAGCAAATCAGAACAGCACGAGTTATCCAGTTATTACATGAAAGTTATTAAAAAAAAAGTGTTTAGGTTCGGAGCAGTTTTTCTTTGTATGTAGTGCATGGAAGTTATTAAAAAAAAAAGTGTTTAGGTTGGGAGCACTTTTTCTTTATATGCATTACACGAATTGATTTGAGTTTGAAATTCAAGATTATCGACATGAACATCTAACAAACAAGATATACAGATAGCAAATATGAAAGGATTGGTTTCAGTTAGCAGCAACCTCTCTCATTTACATTACTTACAGAGTTGATTTGGTCTCGAAAACAAAATCAAGATACTAAAAAACAAACTACGGGGATAGGGAATGACTCGTCATGAATTTAGTCTACAGCAGCACAATGGAATCAAAGAAGTTAAAAGAAGTCATCATATTTCACCAAGTCGAATGAAGAAATGTTGATGCACGATCAGTTTAATATGACCAGAGTGTGCACTAGATCAAGAAACCGATTTAATACGAGAATAAACAGTGACTTAATTTCTGAACTGACATTCTTGAATTTCAAAGATCTCAACATAATATATAGGCAACCTTAAACCCAGACAATCATGTAGATTGATGTAAAGACAGATATACCTGCAACAAGAAATCTAAATCTCCACGTAAATTGGGTTCTTGACCTGGAAAGTAAGGATATTTACCAGCAGCCTTCAAGCACAGCGCACCAAATATACAAGAAGAATAAGAGGAATTAGAAACCAGGCCAGTACGGAGAATTTTGTAAGAAGTAGCGCTTGTGGGTATTCATCATTAGGCGAGAAGCAAAGCAATTATCTTAGATTGAACACGAAAGAAATGGCTATAAGTGTCTTCAATATTGGGATTTTGGGTTTACCTCTTCAGGAGATGCCCAAACGTGCAAGTGTGAATCAATGACTTTGGCGGGGTTTTTCTTGTTGTCAGCTCCGCTGCTGGTGGCCATTCTTGCTGCAGAGACTTGAGTTGGTGTCTCTTTAGTGAAGAGCTTGAACACTGAAACTGTAGACAGATAAGAGTGGGAGGAGTGAGAGGATCTTGCGCTAGCAGTTGATATCAAGGGCTTCAACAACCATTGGCCACATGTCATTGACATGGTTAGATGAAATTATAGTTATAATTGTTATCGTGGTTGCTGTTGTTGTTTTGGGGTAATACGGAGAACTTTGGGCTTTTGCAAGTCGAAGCGTTTGAGGGGGTTTGGCAATATTTGGAAAAACATATATATATATATATATAGAATGCTCACTTTCACCTTTTCGTAATTGATGAAGGGTTTGGATTTTAGGAATGTAATTAGTCATTTGACTCGCGACATGCACATGGATATATATTTTTTATTAAAAAAATTACATACATAAGTGTTTTCTCATGTTTTTGTACATAAAAAATATTTAAATGTGAGTTAAAAAAACTATCTATATATATAATCAAATAAATTGAGAAATATTAGGATTAATAAATAAATAAAATATTATTAATAATAAAAAATCAAAAATATATAAAATTAAAAATTAAAAAAATCAAGATGCTAACTTGATTAGATTTGATAAATTACTAAAAATCTAGCAACTCACCAAATCAGCTGAGTTAATCAAGTTTTAAAATATTAATATATTTTTAATTTAACTTAAAACTCGATCTTGATTAAATTTAATAGTAATTATATTGATAATAAAATGGTGGGGTGATGATGGCGGGTATTATGATAAAATGATGGTTACGATGATGATAATAATTTTAACAATAATAACAAATATTATGAGTTGATAGTGTTAAGAAAAATATTTTTATTTATTTGAGAAGTTAAAATATTTTTTTTATCAATGATTGGTTGAAAAATATTTTATGACTTGTTTTTAGTGTTTTTTTTTTACATTGAAAAATAGTATGGAAAATATTTTAATAAAAAATGAGTTATTTTTGGCTATATCAAAAAATATTTTATTATAGAATAAATTATTTTTCATTATAATTTTTAAATAATAATGATAAAGATAAGAAAAAATTGCAATGTTAATAATAAAAACAACAGTGATGATGAATATAATAATCAAATTAATGATATTTATAATACTAACAATATTACCACTATTAGTCTAATAGTTTTAGAATAATGGTTAGTATGAATAATGATGAAATGATAGTTATTTTAATAATAAAATAATGATAATAATAATAATAGTTATAGAGGTAAAGTGATGACTATGATATAAAATTACATTAAAATAATAATAAAGTAATAATTATATTGATAATAAAATATTCATAGTTGATGAATAATGATATTGGTTTACGATGAGATAATTATAAAACAATTTAAATAATATTTTTCTTTAAAATTACACTATTTAAAGATTAATCTAAGAATTTTTTTATTAATTTATTTTTAAGAAAACTAATTTTTTTGAAAATATTTCTAGAGAAAAAATTAAAAACTCTCAAGTTAAAATCTAATTGGTATTTATAGCTGATATACCATCCAATGTAAAAAAAATAAAAAATCCAAGCCATCGAGCATTACAGAACATATCATATCCAGTGATTTGCTGCCATTAATTTTAGCTGCCCAATGCTAGTTTTTTTTTTAAATAAAATAAAAATGGGGCCTCCCTGGTTGGTATGGTTATGGTCCTTGGATATTCGAAACTTACCCCAGGAGATTCTGAGATGACATACTTGTCATTTTTGTAAACCCAGACACAATATCTGTAATTTCACAACCATCGCCGCATCATCTTCTCATCTGTTTCTATAAGCTAAAACCAAGGAAAATCACGCCTAACGCCTTCTCTCTCTCAGACACATACCCATCAATGGCGGTTTCTTTCACAACCCTGGTAGTCCTTCTTCCTTTTATTTTCTCAGTAACCAAGCACACCCCATTTTTCTGACCCAACAACAAAAAATGTGTTTTTTTTTTTTTGCAGACAAATGTGGGCTCACTATCAACTCCACAAAATACTATGTTGCAGGTAAAATCAGTAAGATCCACCCAGTGCAATGCGGTGAGGTTTCCCACTAGAAATGTGTTACCTTCAAATGTTTCCTCGTCTTCATCGAGCTGCTTCTTCTCGGGTCCGCTTCGTTTTGCTTCTCTTTCAACCTCGTCTCCGAAGAAATCCCGTGTTCTCAGCTCCGTTCGAGCTAGTACAGAGGTTAGGGTTTTTGCAGGTCCCCCCCCTTTCTGGGATTATTCTATGTTTCTAGTTTATAACGTGGTTTTTATCGGTTCAATTGATTGAGAGTTTTTTATTTGCTTGAGACCTGGACAGTGAGATTTTTTTAGATTTTAGTGAACTTATTTTTTTTAAAACTTTCTTGAGTTCTGACGACTATGTTGAGCACTTAGAGATATACGCAACTGTTCATTGTGTTCAAGGAACAAATTTGGGATCAGAAAATTTGATATGCTACGTGAAATGTGGATTAGAGTTTGTTTTGTGATGTTTTTGATGTGGAATTAGTTTTTTGGATTGAGAAAGTTTGAATTGTATGTGGTTTTGCATACCCGTGTCTTGAATTTTTTTCTTAAAAAAAGTTTCAGGTTGCAGAGTTACAGTCAAAGGTGACCAACAAAGTGTATTTTGATATAGGGATTGGGAATCCGGTAGGGAGACTTGTTGGGAGAGTCGTCATTGGGTTATTTGGCGATGACGTGCCACAAACGGTGGAGAACTTCCGTGCTTTATGCACAGGTTGTGTCATATGAACTTAAGATCTATGCTATCCATCGGTTATTTCTTTTCTAAACATCAAAGCTTTGAATATTTTCTTAAATCTGGTTTCAATTGTGTATTTTGATCAGGAGAGAAGGGCTTCGGCTACAAAAATTCTGCTTTCCACCGTGTCATCAAAGATTTCATGATTCAAGGAGGGGACTTTGACAAAGGAAATGTGAGTTCTCTCTTCACACTTTTGGGTGCATCTCAACAACAAGTATATTTTTTTTTGGCTTCTGATATATTCTTTTGTTAGTTAGCTGGGATTTGAATCCCTGTTTTGTAAATTGTAAGTATACATGCAGTCAAAGATAGCAACTAATTTGCCGTGCTAGAGGCCTTTGTTATTTTTTAAGGCAATCTTCACCTCCTTTTATTGGCTTTGCTAGAAATAGTAATCGGCTTAATATTCAATGACAAACCAAGAATTTTGAGCTGGTATGCTATGAGAACTTCAATGTCTCATTTCCATCTCTATTTTCTTACCTCCTGAACATTTTCATCTTTCAAGTTCCTATTGAATAATTCTCCTAAAAATATCTAAAGTGAATCAAGAATCAATAAGATACTGAAAACAAGCAAAACAAAACTAAGATTATGATTTCGCAAGTAGCAAAATGAATTTGTGCAAAATATGGACTATAGGAAGATTCGAAATAAAACATCAGAAAAAATTAATGAAAACATTTATTTGACTCCTAAATAACATATATATAACATAAATAAACTGAATCGGTTAAAAAAATAGTAACAAACATGTTTTTGTAACTTGACGCAAATTTAACCCCTTTGTTATTCTTAAAGGCAATCTTCACCTCCTTTTATTGGCTTGCTAGAAATAGTAATTGGCTTAATATCCAATGAAAAACCAAGAATTTTGAGCTGGTATGCTAAGATAACTTCAATGTCTCATTTCCACCTCTATTTTCTTACCTCCTAAACATTTTCATCTTTCAAGTTCCTATTGAATAATTCTCTTAATAATGCAGGAGGTGTGTTGTTCAGTTTATGAGACCCTTGAAATTTGCTCTTTATTCAATTTCTATACCTTTGTTCCCCTTGTTTCTCCGTGTGTGTTTGTTAAGAAATGAAACATTGGCAATGATACTCTAAGCTCATGTTATATCTTGTACGTGCATCTGTGCTACTACCAACTAGCTTTGTACTTGGGGCATTGTCAGCGTTTTCAATTAGATTTGTATTCTGATATTTGGAAAGACTTGCAGGGCACTGGAGGTAAAAGCATTTACGGCCGTACATTTAAAGATGAAAACTTCAAGTGTAAGTTGATACTTCTCATGTATCTATTGTACTAGTTTGGAAACCCATGCTCAGTAAACTGTAAATCTCACCAAGGATGTTTCCTTGGTCGAAGACAGATGATCACTTCTGCATCTCTCACTCTCTTTGTGTCTGAGATTGAGCAGTCACTGAACCGAAACTTCCCCATATGAGTGATTGATTTTTCCTGGATTTTGCCTGGTCATCATTTTTAAATTTTGGCGTTGGATGTTGTATATTTTATCTATGTGCCACTGCATGCCTAATTATGAAATCTCATATCTTAGCAGTGTCACATAGCGGACCAGGAATTGTTAGTATGGCAAATGCAGGGCCCAACACCAATGGAAGCCAATTTTTCATCTGCACTGTCAAGGTAGATTTGTCATTTTATTTAGACACATATTCCTCATGCATGTGTGTAGAGGCATGCTCATTTGTGGCTGGGCAGACAAACACGTGATATCCTCTTGTTACAGTCTCTTCAATTTGGTTGAGAATGTTTTGAATCTTTGATGTTTTTTTTTTCTTCAATATAAACGGAGCAGAATCTCAAATAGAGAGATTAAAGAATGAAAATAATTCCTATATCTTCTAAATTTTCCTAGGCTCTCTCTCTTTGCTATGTCCGGAAGCTAATGTCCCTGCTACTAGCTGGGTTTGGTGGTGTTTATGGTATAAAATAAATTGTCATGGTTACTTGATTTGAGGTACACCGGAGAAGTGATCAAGAGAATTAGGTCTCGTTTGTTTGTTGGAAAGTAGTTTGTTTGTTGGAAAGTGGTTTGTTGGAAAATGATTTTCTAAAAAGTGAATTATTTTTCAATATTTGATAGTGTCATGGAAAAATAAGTTGGAAAATGTTTTCCAGTATTTGATTATGTCATGGAAAATGAGTTGGAAAATAATTTATTAATATTTTTTTCAAATTTATTAAAATAATAAGGAAGAAATCTTACAAAATAAAAAGCTGAATGAGAATGAAATTGAAAAAAAATAATTTAATTTCATAAATTATCTCAAATAAAATAAATAATAATTAAAATAATGGAGATAAAATCTAACAAATAAAAAAATTAAAAGATGATGAAATTAAAATAATAATAATTATAATTTTATAAATTATTTCAAATAAAATAAGTAACAATAAAAAAAATGAGGATCGAATTTGATAAATAAAAAATTTCAATTAAAAAAATAAGAGAAAAACAAATAACAATCATAAAAATGAGGACCAAATTTAATATAAAAATCTAATTAAATCAAATTTTAAGGGGTGAAATTGAAAAAAAAATATCAAAACAAAATATATAGCAATCAAAAGTTCGAGAACCAAATTTATTATAATCAACAACTAATATGATATTTTTAAATTTTTCGCAACTTTTGAAAAGTATTTTCCACTCAAAATAAAAGGAAAATACTTTCCTGGAAACTAAACTAAATTTTTCTTTGACTAAAAAGTGTTTTCTGTTGACTATGTTTTCTAATGATAAACAAACACTAAAAAGTTTAGAAAATGATTTTCAGAAAATCACTTTTCGCCAAACAAACGAGGATAGGTGGTTGTTTCTGAAGTCAACTTTAACATTCTGTCTTTCTTTTCTTTCCTCTCTCTCGCTCTCTTTTTTTTGGGCCGGGGGGTTTAATAACTGTTAATTGTTGTTAAATTGGGTTTAACTTAACACCTCCCCAAAAGAAAAGAGGATTAGGATAAAAAGTTCAGCAGGGTATTTTCCGGGTTACCCCCTTTTTTCTGCTGGAAAGTATGCAGGTGGTTTTGCCTGCCAGACTTTTCTGTATGGAAAGTGGCCATTACAAAGAAAGCAGGAATTGGTCTATATTTAACACGACTTCTTGTTGACCATAGCCGCATTTAGATGGTATATGTAGGTCTTGAAGACTGGAATACATTTTTTTGTTTGTGGTTGCTGGTGGTCTATATCATCTAAATTTCACCAACAATGTTCCATTTTCATGCTGGCGTAGCACCTATTTGTTATAGCTAACTGCTAACGTGGGTTTTAGCAGTCACTAATGGAGACAGGTTATGTTCTACAAATGCTTATTGCTTTTGTTGATCAATTCCATCTAGTTAAAAGCTTTGTCAAGTGGTCAAATTTTTGCAGATTTATGTTACGTTTATATGGCTTGACACGTGTTGCTTTGTTTTTCTGTTCATGGGAAATGACAGACTCCATGGCTAGATCAGAGGCATGTTGTTTTTGGTCAAGTTTTGGAAGGCATGGACATTGTTAAATTGATCGAGTCACAAGAGACAGACAGAGGAGACCGTCCCACAAAGAGAGTGGTGATCCTTGAAAGTGGTGAGCTTCCCATGAATGAAGCTTGATGCTATCAATTCTATCCATCCCTTCTCCTCAACATCGACCATGAGAGTAGTCTACCCCGTTTGGAGGGCTTTCGTTAAACGAGTATGGAATTAACCTCTGATAAAGTTTCTTTCTTCACTTGTATTCATTAGAAAGCTTAAGCAATAAGGGTTGTTTCTCGGATAGAAAAAAATTAAATAATCACATGGTTGTTGGAGCATATCATTTTCAGTATATGAAATGTGCTCATCATGATGGCATGGCGATGGTTTTTATTTTGAGTGTTCAGAGTGGACTTGGGATGTGATTCCAAGTTAATAGCAGTGAAAAGGTTATGAAATCACCGCTCAATTCTCTGTGGGGTATAGTAATTCTGTTATATAATAAAATATATTTAAATAAATACTAATTCAAATACTAGATATTATCTCCTACAGTGAAGGAGTTGTCACAGACATGATTTGAGGAGGATTCTATGGATCCCTATATAACTGAAATACCCTCCCCTTTAAAGCCTGCCCAAAATGCGTAGCTTGGAATGAAGAATGAAAGCAGATCGACAAAGGCTCTTGGTAAACATGTCTGTAATTGAGAGATTAGTTGGAACATAGTGAATCTGAAGTTTTTTCGAAGCCACCAATTCTCTCACAAAGTGACTATCCAAATCGATGTGTTTTGAATGCTTGTTTGATACTGGATTAACAACAATAAAGATAGAACTTTGACTATCACAAAGCTTGAAGGCAAGGATGAAGACACCTTGAGGTCTCAAAGAAGATGACCAAGCCAATTGATTTTAGCAGCGTTGAGTGTCATATAGCCTGATATTTTGATGAACAGCTTGATCAGGATACCGTTGGTTGTAGAACTCTAGAACACAAGATTATCACTAAAATAAATTGCTTGACCGAAAATTGATCTTCGCGAGTTAGGGCATCAAGCCCAACTAGCATCAAAATAAGCAAGAAGGTCTCATGAAGGGGTGAGAGACAAACCATTGAGAAATGCCTTCTTGACTTCAAGCCAATAGAGAGGCCAATGACCGAAAATTGCAAAAGAGAGAACAGCCTGAATTATGGATGCCCTAACAGTAAAAATTAGAGGTTGAAGTTCATGCTGAGGAACATATAGCCCATTTTCAAGTCACCACAATCCCTTTGGGGACTCAATTTTATATAACAAAACGATCATTAATAAAGGTGATAGAAAAAGAAAAATCAAATGTATGTTTACTAATAGGTATTAGATTTCTGGGGAGTCCAAGCACTATTAAAACATGCGGTAATATAAGTGAGGAAGTGGGGGGAAAGGCACCAGTACGGGAAACTGGAAGTGAGGCATAATTACCACCAAGAACACTAAAATAAACTGGAAGTGGGTAAAAAGCAACAGAGTTCACAGCTGGGTTTGCGATGAACTTATGCCCGAGTAGGGCCTTAGGATTCAAAAGCTCCATGAAGCCACTAGAAAACCACCACTGTAACTCACATAAATCATTCAGACATCGAATGTTTAGTTTTGGTAGGTCAAGTAAAATAACATGACCGCAAGTTGCAAACGTTGTTTTCATCTTTAACACGTCAAGAATTGGCTTCCTGATATTTTGTTAATTATGATTGTGCCGACGACGGCATCGCCTCTCTCATGTGGGGTGACTTTCATGACCATTCTTATTATTATAATTATCATGTTGTTGTTGCTGTTTTGTTTTAACTTTTAATAATTGTCGTTAAATAATTAATAGCCAAGCATTTAGTCGGGTATTTCTCGACACTTTCCTATCAACTTGTATTTGCTAATATTAATATATTTTTTTTAAAAAAAAACACAAAACTTGTGGTAGTTAAAAGCCTAGAAGTAGCGTTGATTGATAAACTTAAGGAGACAAAACTCTTTTGGATTCTTTTATATATATATAAAAACCAATTCTAAGAAAATTATCTTTTTTTTATGTTTGACCATATTATAAAAAATAGATAGAAAACACCTTTTGGTGTATGGAAGTACACATTGAAAATATATAAATTTATTTTTATGCTATTCTATTTTATAATAAAAATTTCATGTTTGTTACATTTGATTATTGTATAATATGACTTTGTATATATTTTTCTAGAAATATTATATAAGCCGGTTTTCTTATCTTTATATTAGATAAAAATAATACTAATATATTATATATTGACATATGCCCGATCTATTATTTCCTAACAATTTTAAATAGAGAAAAAAAAACTTTAAATATTATATATGTCAATATATATATATATATATATATATATATATATATATATATATATATATATATATATATATATATATATATATATATATATATATGCGACACAACATTTAAATAGAGAGAGAAAAAATGATGTCTTATGCTTACAAGAAACTTAAACAAGATTTAAAATAAAAAAAAACTTCCTTTTAAACAATGAAGATAATAAAATCAATTTTAATACCATACTTGTAGCCAGGTACAACAGCTGTTCGATGTTGTCATGTTAAATTTGACTACGTATCTCCATACTCTGTATAGTAAGCAGCCAGCAACACTCGTCTTTTACATCGTAAATGTAATAATAATGGGATGCATGATACAGTATACATAATGATTTTGTCTCAAAAATTCTACCACTCCATCTTCTCAACTTACGTTACGTGCTTCGAGGAAGATTTAAAGAGTATCTCGACTGCGAGACCTCCCATTTTATTCTATTCGTTCAAGGATCCAGTCCTCTTCCGCCACCGTTCGAAAGGCGAAACAGGGTCCCACGACACCAGAAGAAGGACCCCATATGTACTGGCGGCTGACGTTTGTGAGATCCTTATCCGGCCACGTTTACGTTGCTGATGCAGCTATCATAATCATAAGAACTATAAATCAGAAAGGGGAAAGGGACACATCAATGAGGTGCTGGAGGATGTGGAATTACGCAACATCTTTCCTCCCCCGTTGAGATTCTGTCGGTGACTTTTCTGCTGTCTTTTTTCATAGGAAAGTCTTAATTACGAAATGATTACGAAGTCACTAACAAAGTCTCCTATTTGCATCGTTATGATCTTAGACTTTAGATTCCCGTTCTTATCCAATCGCCGAGCCTGCATTTTAGAGTTTTCCTATGTCATAATTATGTTATTTGTCTTTCACGTGCATGATCTAAGGATTGATCAATTACTAGTTAAAAGTTTTCCTCGCTGTGGAACGATCCAACCACTCAAGGGCCGAACTTGAAACTCTATCAAAAGCTAGAAGTATAGAATCGATGGTATCAATCATCTATACTGGCATTTAATCACACTAGTTTATATCGTGCTCTGACTTTCGTGTTCAGCCCCTCTCCAATTATAAATGGATGTACAGAAGAAACCAAAAGCATTGGACAAATTGAATCATGAACAAGTTTTTTCACAGATTTATCAAAACATGCCATATTCAGGAATGCAAATTGGCCTTGAAATGATGATGGGTTCCCACATTACTTGTTCCACATGGAAAAGAGGGGTTAGTTTGGGGTGTACCGTTTTTGGAGTGCTCCTTACCTACTCGTAAGCACTTGAAGGTGTCGCTTCAGGAAAGCCCTGAATCAAGGCATGTCACCACCGCAACCAACCTTCTATCGAGTCATGAGCACTAAGCACTTTCTTTAGTCGGAATTGCAGCGAAAGTCAATCTTGATGGCTCATTACTATATACATACAGGGAAGTTGAACCACTATCAAACTTACCTGTCCCATTACACATCACCATTTTGTATACTCTTGGTAGGCGAAAGCACAACTAAAACATCCCACCAATAGATATTTGTATGCCTAGGCCATAATGTTGCTAGGGGAATATAATCTTCAACACTGTAGCGCCTGCTCTATATTCCTGAGTTACCTGCTAATGAGAAAAATGCTAAGAGAGGGACCAAAGGAAATAAACAATCAAATTAATGCACAGCTGTGCGATGGAATCACCACTCTCAAATTCAATGATCCAATAAAATCAAATCTGCAATGCATCCTGCACTAAAGGAGCCTTTACATAGCATCAGGATCCAAAATGCAAATCATGTTGATCGTAGCGCTTAAACCATCACGCAGAATGACCCTCAGCGCTGCATTTTGGATGAAGTTTTGGAGCCAGCATAACAATATTTACAAAGTCACATGGGACAAGGAAGCTCGAACAAGATATTTACAAAAAGCTTTGCAAATTCAAATTTGACTGCAACTTTGATGCCTCGTCCAAGATCAACAGGGAAGTGAACTGAAGCTCTAAGGAACAACCTGTGCAACTAAGTCAAACTATCCAACATTTACGTGGCTGACCAACCTAGTTTAGCCATTGAACAGCTCAAGAATTTGACTTTATTAGACCCAAGTGATAAAGGAACTTCTCTGACTTTGATCGAAAGATATTACCTAAAGACAATAACCCACGTTCCTGGGGCGGAGACTTCGAGTAAGCATCATCATTCACATTAAGTATAGTCAAACCGATCTCTTTTCTAACTGCTTCAATAGTTTCACTCTTCACTGGATGTCCTGATGAATCAGTGACGAAGAAAACATTCACAGCCTGGGAACCTCTGGTAGTAACCTCAGCTCGAGTGACTGAAAGACCGTTTTCCCTAAAAATGCGAGTCACGTCAGACAAAAGGCCGACCCTATCCTCAGAACAAAGTTCCAATCTTACGCCCTGCATCCAGACAGTTCAATAAATCAAATACTAGTGAGATGTTGACAAGTTTGAAACTAGTATTAAAATCAAACTTGAGCATATCTGTACCTCAGAAGTTCTCCTCCTAATAGCAGCCTCCAAGCAATTAATTAGTCTTTGCCTCTCTGCTTCGGAAGTAATTGGGGACCCATCCACGTGCCTAATAAAATACTCCTGTATTACAAGTAACAAATGAGATCCTCCGTAGCAATGTTTAAAAGCATTTGTTTGGTCAAAAAAAAAAAGAACAGAAAATTATTAAATGCATCTTGAAGGAATAAAGAGTAACCTGGCAAGCCTCCGGTCCTTCAGCTATGATAATTGCATGATTTACTACATATTGCATGTCAGTTAACGTGCACACTGTATCAAATATTAGCTTCGGCCGGTCTGGACACCTCAAGTTCACAACAGTGTAACCCTTATCTACACAGTTTTCCACCGTTACAAAACGGTTGCGTTCACTAGCTGAGCTACAATCTGCATCATCCACGTCATAATCACGATCAGCATACATCATCTG